TCAGTTTTCCCCTGCAGATGATGCGTCCCCTCGACTCGACTGCCTGCCGGCTCGGCGCGCGGAGACGCGGAGGGAAGGATCTTCAAATGAGCCAGGGGCCGCTGCACCCAGCCCTTCGGTCCTCGCCAATCGCCTCTGAATCTGCTGCCCCGCTTTTTCCTCTGCCTTCCTCTCTCTCTCTCTCCCTCTCTCTTCCTATCCCTCTCTCCCCCCCACCCAGCCCGCTTCCGGCCCCCCCCCGCCGGATCCCCGCTTTCTCTCTCCCCCCCTCCTTCTCCCCTTCTCCCCTTCTCCCCCTCTCTCCTTCCCCCTCTCCACTCCTGCCAAGCCAGGCATCATGCTTCGGCAGCACCCTGTGCCTCGGCCGGCTGGCAACCTCCCTTGCGCGTTGGAATCCGTGGTGACGGCGCTAGGCACCGCGATCCCCGAGGCCGATAATGAGTTCCTGCGCACGGTCTGCCGGCATATGACGGCGGCGGTGCTTGGCATCGAGCCATCCAAGGTGGACCTCCGCCCGGCCGCCCGGCGCGGGCCCCTGCCCGGGTGGAATCCCCAGCGTCGGCTCCTCTGTCGGTGTGGCGTTTGCCACCGAGTGGCCAGCCGTGCGCGCGCCCTCCCCCCCAGCGGCCGGATCCCCCGACAGCGGGACTTCCTCCGGCGATGCGTTGTTCGAGAGCTTGGGCTGCTGGAAAAGCGCCCGGTCGAGCAACGCCCCGAGGATCCCCCTCAACACACGCCGGATGCCACTCCGATGGCCATTCCCTGTTCGGGGCGCCTGTTGAACCGGGTTTTTCTCCTTTCATTGGGGAAAATCATCCGGCTGCTGGCGCGCCCGGATGACCCGGGCGATGGGGCCCCGCTCATCTGTCGCACCGGTCTCGAGGGTGACAATGCGTGTGGCCTGCTTCGCCGGGCAGCGGCCTTGCAGCAAACCCTCCCTGGGCCCGGGCCGGATGTGGCCCTCGAGAGGCTGGTGACGCAGGCCCGCAATCGAGCCCTTGGTCGGCTGATCCGGCTCTTCCCCCTGCTGGACCCGGGGTACCTGCATCAGGTACTGGCACAGGCGGCCCGGGATCTGGAGCGCTCGGCCGACTTGACGCATCTGGTTGGCCGGCAGTGGCACTTCCGGTCGTTGGTGATTACCGCCGTGGACACCGTGCTGGACGCCCTGGCCAAGGACCAGAGGGAGCTGGAGCGCCGGGCCCGCCTCGCCGAGACCGGAGGCGTTGGGGCCGCCGGAGCCGGGGCGCCGGTTCCCCTGGCCCCGCTGCCTGGATCTCGGCCGCTGCACATCCATGGCCAGTCGGCCGGGGACTTTGGTCGTGAGCTTCGTCGTCTGCTGGGGGATTTTGTCGAGCGCCAGGCGGCCGCGGCTGCAGCCGGTGCCGAGGGCGGCCCCTTCCGGGCCCAGGCTCAATGGCTCCCGCGGCCCGGGCTGCCCGGGTTCCTGGCCGGTCCGGCCCCGGGGGCGCGCCTGTCCATTGTCGATGTGGCCCTCACCGAGCACCGGCATCACCGGCTGCTGGCCTTGCGGCCGCCATTGGACCTGTTGGCTGCCTGTCGCGCGGCCAGGCCTCCGACCGGCGCCGGCCCCACCCCGGGGTCCCCCCCACCATCGCACCTGTGCGCGCTGCCCCCACCCGGGCATCTGATCGATGTGGCGCCCTGCCTCGGCGGGGGGGTCCATTGCCTGGATGAGGCATTCACCGTGGCGTCGACCCTGCGCTTCCGAACGGCCGAGTACCTGAGCCAGGCACACGAGCTCCTGGCCTTGGAGTTCCCCTTCCTCATGGGCAGCTCAATCGGGTGCGTGTCCCCCCTTCCCTCCCGTGTCCACCCCCTCCCCGCCCCTCTTTCTCTCTCTCTCTCCCTCTCTCCGTCTCTGCTCTCCATCGCCTGCCTCCCTCTCGTTCGGCCCTGTCAACTGGGGCTCGCCTTCTGACATTCCCTTCGTCGCCTCCCCCCCCCCGTCAGCCATGCACTGACCAGCTTCCAGGGGGATTATGGCCTGGCATTCATTCACCTGACCAATACGGTGACCACCGGGTCGCATCGGTTTGCCGAGAAGTTCATGTCTCTCTTCAACTCGACACAGCGGCGGCCAGCGCTGGAGGTGATCGCCGGTGGCCCGGCTCCCATGCCGACCGGCTTCCGGCGACTGACATGGTGGGGCTTGCGTAGCCTGCTCCGAAGTGCGCCCGGCGGTCCGGCCGCCCCGCGGCCAGCACGCTACTTCGACCCGGATCTCGTGCTGGATGTGCTGAAGCTGCACGGCTGGAAGGCGGCGGCCCGGGCGACGGCCGAGGCCGAGGCCGCCGCGGCCGGGGCGGCCCCCGTCGGGCCGCCGGCCGAGTGCCAGTGCTGCTTCGGGGACTTCCCGGCCGGGGAGGTGGTCCGCTGCACCGGGCCAAGCCAGCATGCTTTGTGTGTGTCCTGTGTGCGATCGGCTGCCGGGCTGGCCCTGGACCGGCCACCGGGCAATGGGCCTCTGGCATTGGGATGCTTTGCCGCCACGGCCGAGCCCCCATGCGCCAGTGGCCAGATCCGTCTGGAGGATGTCATTGGCCGGTGCCTGGCCCCGGATGAGGGCCAGCGGTTCATGGCGCGCGCTCTGTCCGGGGTTCTGCCCGCCACCCGGGCGTGCGGCCTGTGCGGCTACTTTGAGGAAGTGTCGGACCCGGGGCCGGGGCCACTGGGCCCGGATCCCGAGGCCCAGCCGGCCGAATTCCGTTTGGAGTATCAGTCCTGGCGCGACCGCTGGCGGGCCATGGTGGGCGTCTCACCTCCGGCCAACCCGAGCGCCGCCTGGCCACCGGGGCACTTTGAGCGTTTGGTGGTGTATCGCGCCCTGCTCGGCCGGCTGATCCTGCTGCTGGCTGCGAGCATGCCGGTCCTGCTGCTGCTCGGGCTGCTGCTGACCAATGATTCGCGGTCTCTCCTCTTCTGGGCGGTCTTGCTTGTGGCGCCGGTGGTCTTCCTCCTGGACGGTGCGTGTGCTTGTCACATTGTCGCCGCTGCCCCTGCCCCCTTCCCGGTTGGATGCCACTGGCGGCCCCTTTCGCGTTCTTCCTCCCTCTCCCCCCCCCAACCCCGTCCCTCCCATCTGACAGCCTTGACCATCATTCCCTCGACGCCGGGCGCCGTGGCCAACCCCCCTCGCCAGGTCGCATCACTGGGCCCGCGCCGCCGCCCGGTGCCGGGCTCCTGGCGGCCGCGCACCATGGGGCCCGGCTGGGGTCCGGCATTTTGCTGCTTCTGGGCTTCAGCCAGCCGCTGGTCGATCTGACCTTCCTGCCGGCCAGGCGCATCGATGTGGCCGTTCGGCAGCTGGTGGCGCGAGACATCGGGCCAGCTCCACGGGCCGGGGACTTCGCCGGGTTCCCCACGCGCGGCTCTTCCGGCAGCGAGCCCTTTATCTGCCGGAATATTCACTGCCTGGCGGCCACATGTGCCGGTTGCGGGGAGCCGGCGCATGGCGGGCTGCCCTGCCGCTCGGCCGGGACCTTGGCGGCGCAGGTGGTCGCGGCAGCCGCGGCGGCCGAGATGGCCTCGGCGTCTGCCTCGCCGGCGGCCGGCGGCTCGGTGGATCTTCGCCACCCGCCGGCCCGGCCGGATGCCGGGTCCCTGGACCAGCTGCGCCTGTTCGTTGAGAGCATCTTCTCGGCGACCCTGATTCGAACATGCCCTCGATGTCAGAGCCCCTTCGTCAAGGAGCAGGGCTGCAACGAGATGACCTGCCCCATCTGCGGGACCAAGAGCTGCTACCTGTGCCGGCAGCCGGTGGCTGGTACGCAATCGCCAGCCCTGTCCCGGGGCCCCGCGAGCATGCCGTGCCTTTTTCTCTCCCCCCCCCCAACCCCTCTGACCTTCGACGCATTCGCCCCTCTTCCCTTTCTCCCCCTCCGCCCGTTTGCCATCCGTCGTTGCCCTGGCAGCCGGGCACTTTTGCCGGCACTTGTTGGAACCCGGGCAAGATTGCCCAGCCTGCGACCGGTGTCGGCTGTATATCAGTGAGGAGCGCCATGTGTTGCGGCACTTCCATGTGCCGACCTCCTCGTCGCCCCTCTTGCGCGGGCTGGATATCGACTTCCCGGAGGCCGGTCAGCCGCTGGTGCGCCTGGCCGTCGGCTACGCGGCCGTGGAGGCCTTCCTGGAGCGCTTCCCAGCGACGGCGGCCCTGCTGGAGGGAAGTGGCCCCGGGCGGGAGCTGCTCTTGGCACTGCTATTTGGCTGAAAGGCAGCAGCCCCGGGGTACCGTGGGAGGCCTGGCGCGGCCGATGCCCGGTCCCCATGGCGGGTGTTTGTTGGCTGCGGCCCCTGCGTTTCCGGATATTTGATGTACGCGAGTGAAAAATAAAAAAAGAAGCAGAAGCCAGCATGGTAATGAGTCGCGCGCGCTCTTGCTGTGCGTGGCCCGCGGCCGAGCTGAAGGGGACCACCAGCGGGGCCAGGAGCCGGAGCGGCAGGCGGGCGAGCGGCGCGAGGGGATGCCCTCCGGGAGCTGGGTTGGCTTCTCCCGGGCATTGGCACTTGGTCGTGGTTGCACCACCCGACATGGGGGGGGGGGGGGGAGGGCGGGCGGCGCGGCTCTCTCCGCTATTTCCCAGCGCCCGAGCGAAGGGGGCGTGAGAATTGAGCGTGTGTGGATTGTCCGGCTGCCGTGGGGGGGTCCCGGGCTCCTCGCCCCCCCCCCCCCCCCCGCCCACCTGCACCTGCCGTGTGTCTTTCGGCACAGAAGGGCGTCCGAAGGAAGCCACCAGGGAAGCCGGGTCGCCCTGGCGCCGGGGCGCGGGGTCATTTTTAAGTGTGAGCCAAGTGTTCGAGCCCCTTGAGCGCGCCGGATGGCGCTCCCCCGAAATCGGAATATAGGTGCCCGCTCGCGGGGCGTAGGTGAATCGGGAAACCATGGGTCGGAGGGGCGGGAGTGTGTCAGGGGCGTGTATGCTCCCTGTGTTGTTCCACCCGGCCAGGAGTTTGCCCCTCCACTCGCTTGCATCCTTTTTTTTTTACGCCTTGGCCCTGAGTGTGCGCATGTCTTTCTTCCCCTCTCCCTTTCAACCCCTCCCTGCCCATCGGGTATCCTCGGACTTTCGCTCGCTCTCGCTCTCTCTCTCTCTCTCTCTTTCTCTTTCTCTCTCTCTCTCTCTCTCTCTCTCTCTCGCTCTGTCTCTGAATGCTGCCGTCGCGGTGGCTTTCAGGCGCACGCCTCCTCCCAACAAGCGAGCTAGCGGCCAGGGTGGTTTGCGTGTGTCAGGCACAAATGCCGCGCGGTTCGCCCTCCCCTCGCCCTAACCAGGGGCTCGAATGGGGACTCCGATCAGGGGAGGTCGCCTAACTCGGCTGGTCTGGAGGTCCCCTCTCTGGAGGGTTCGCTAGACCACGGCCCCGGTCAGGCCCCGCCCCCCTCTCCCGCCCCGGTTGGCGTCGTGCCCTCGTGGTGGGTGTTTAAAAGCCGGCCCCGGTGTTGGCATCCTCCCGCCTGTGCCACACCAACCTGGCCCCGCTCGCAGCTTCCCCCGTTCTGTCTTCCCCGCCTCGCTCGCCCTACACAGCCCCGGGACATCCACCATGGGTCTCAGCAACAAGTCACCCGGCCCCATCTGGTATGACTACAGCGATGTCACCCTCGAGGTGATCTTCGACCTCCTCGCCGGAAAGGGTGATCCGCCCACTTGCTTGACCACGGCATCGAATGATCCGCCCCCGACCGACAGCCCGACAGCGGACCAGGAGACGGCCCCGGCGTCGCCCAACACCAGCCACCCGAATGCAGATGGCGTGGAAGATGTCGCCCTCGAGAAGGCGGGCTCAAGCGGCCTGCCCCCGGCCGCCCCTAGTACCCGGTCGTCCGCCCTCGGGGACTTCCTGGAGGACATTCTATTTGACCGGTCCAAGCCGAAGACCGCCCTGCCGATCGGCGCCTCGCCGGGCGAGGGGTCGTCTGACCCGCCGCCGGCGCCCGAGCGGAAGAAGAATTTCCAGGATCTCGAGGCTGGCAACACTCAGTGGGTGAAGGTCCTCAAGGAGAAGGGGTCCGAGTACTTCCTCATCCGTGGCGATCAGAAGCCCAATTTCCTGTGGATTGGCTGCTGTGACAGCCGGACTCCGGTTCGTGCCTCTTTGCCCCGCCCTCCCTGCCCGTTCTTCCGGTCCCGCCCCCGCCCCCTTTGCCTGCCATTGCGGGTCTCCTGGCCCGGGCCGCTTGTCTGACTGGGTGACTTCCGGGATCGGCCCCTCTCTCCCCCCGGCCATGTCCATGCCTTCGGTCCTTGCCGGTGCGCCGGCGTGGACACGCCTGCGCGCAGGCCATCCTCATTACCAAGCAGCAGCTTGGGCAGATCTTCGAAATGCGCTCGATTGCCAATGTCTTCCAAAGCAGCTGCATGAGCTCCATGTCGGCCCTCGAGTATGCGGTCAATGCCCTGCAGGTGGAAAACATTGTGGTGTGCTGCCACTCCAATTGCGGGGGCATTCGCGCGGCCCTGAAGAAGGATGGCCCGCCTCTTGGCGGGGTCTTGGACTTCTACCTTGAGCCCCTTCGTGCCCAGCTGTACAGCGACAAGCATGTGCTGGCGGCTGTTGAAGCGTCGGAAAAAGCCCCCGAGTCCATTAAGCACGACTCGGAGGGCATCGCCGAGGCCACGGCCGTCATCTCCAATGTCCTGGAGCAGGCCAAGAGCCTGGCTCGAAGTGTCACCGTCAAGAACGCCTGGAAGGACCCCACTCGCGAGCTCAACATCCACTGCGTCATGTACAACCTCTCCACCGGCAAGATGGTGGTCTCGAAAGATGTCCTGCGGAATCCCAACTGCCCGAAGGCCTGAGGAGAGGGGCGCGGGCGGAGACGGAGGAGGGCAAGCCGGGGGGCCGAGCACCTTCCGGGGCCGGTCTCCGGCGCTACAACTCTCCCTTCAGCGAAAGGGCCGGCGCCGGGCAGGGCGGGGCGGGGGAAGGGCCGCAAGCGGCCGCGCGTGCGACCGCACACACGCACCTATGCGGCCATCATGGGGGAAGATGCCTGCCCCCCTCTCCCTGCCTTCGGCGGGCGGCCAGCGAGGCCTGGCGCGGTAGAGGGGGGACAGTCTTGCCCCCACAATCACCGTGCTGGAGCTCCATTCTACGACTTCAGATGATCAATAAACCGCCCCCCGAACGCGGAGTATTTTTCCGAGTGCTGCGCGCTCGCAGGGGGCTTGGTGGGGGGCGCTGCTCCACGGGGGGGGGGGGGGGGGGGGGGGGGGGGGGGGGGGGGGGGGGGGGGCAGCGTGGGTGCATGCGTGCGCCCCTGAGCACTAGCCCCGAATACGTATCCTCCGGCTGCGGGCTTTTCACGCCCTTTGCCCCCTGCACCCCACCCCCCTCCCCCCCCCCCCCCAAGCTGGCCCGGGGTTCTGTGAAGCTCCGTGTGTGGAAGTCGAGCGCGCTCGCGCGCTCCGTCGGGGATCCTGGCGATCTCCATGCAGCTGGCCAGCGCCGGATTGGCCCTAATCGGAGGGTGTAGATTAGCGGGGGCGCCCGCACGCAACGCATGCCAAATGGCGTCCGGGCATGGATTCCGTAAATTCCGCCCCGTGCCCGATCTCACCCGGAGGTTATGGTCTTGTGTGTGTGTGTGTGTGTGTGTGTGTGTGTGTGTGTGTGTGTGTGTGTCGGGGGGGGGGGGGGGGGCGGCACCGGCGAGGCGGACGGGCACGCCGGGTGGGCCGGCAGCAGGAGGGGAGATTCATTTGGCGGCCCGGCCAAGACGGAACCCAGCTCTGCCTCACAGGTCCACCGGTCCTTTGTTCCCTCATTCCATCCGCCCTACCTTTGAGCAGCCTCGCGCGGCCCTTCTCCCGGGAAAATGCGTCCCGACACCAAGATCCCCGACTTCACGGTCGACTACAGCCCGGAGGCCTGGTTCGACTACACCGATGAGGCTCTCCGTTACCTGGCCAGCGTGGTGTGCAGCGGGTCCACCGAGCACCCCGAGCAGGTGTCCGAGCGCTTTGAAGAGCTCCAGCGCACGGTGCCCGACAGTTCCCTGGCCTCCGACGCGGGGCCTGCGGCCCAGATGACCGAGCTGCTAGGCTCCCTGTCTCTGCTGCAGAAGGACCTCTCGGCAATGCCGACCGAGGGCCCGCCCTCGCCGCTGTCTCCCGGGTGGGTGGTCACCAGTCATGCGGACGCCGATGACGCCGGCGCCGATGGCCCAGGCGGCGAGATGGCCATCCAGAAGAAAAAGAAGAAGAGCAAGCAGGCCACCCCCCCGGGCCCGGCCCCGCCGCCGAAGGAAAAGCGCACGGACCTAGAGCAGGTACCGAGACCGCCCGACCCCGCACGCTCGGCCCCAGGCTCGCGCGCGCGCTCTCTCTCTCCCCCTCTGATCCCCACTGCCGCGCCGCTTCCTCCGGGGGTTTCTCCGCCCCACTAACCCTCAAGACGGTTCTCGATGCGCGGCACCTGGCAGGCACCGCCCAAGCCGAAGGCGCCCTCGCCGCCAGACGCCGGGCAGCAGCCCGCCCCCGTGCCAGTCATCTACCGGAAGTCTTTCGAGCAGCTCCTCAAGGACAATTACATGTGGGCGGCTTCCATGCGCCGGGATGATCCGGCCTTCTTCAATCGCCGTGGGCCGCAGATGCCCAACTTCCTTTGGATCGGCTGTTGTGATAGCCGGTCGCCGGTGCGCCAAACCCCCCCCCCCCCCGCCCCGCTCCCCGGCACCACCCTCTTCCACTCGCCCCCTGCCGGTGTCCTGACCTTCCTACCCGGGGCTCGGCCCCGGCCCGTGGTCGGCGATGCTCCGGCCCGGCTCGACACCGGCCCCGCGGCCCGGCTCGCCTCCCCGGCCAAACAGGGCTCCACCGTGTCGGGCCAGCTGCCGGGATCGGTCTTCGAAATGCGGACCATCGCCAACATCTTCAACCCCATGTGCCTGAGCACCATGTCCATCCTGGAGTACGCTGTCGAGGGGCTGCATGTGGAAAACATCATCGTCTGCTGTCACACCAACTGCGGCGGGGTGCGGGCGGCCCTGCTGCGCTCGCGCCTGGGCGTGCTGGACTACTACACGGAGCCCATCCGGAATCAGCTGCGCCGCGATGAGCAGGTCCTGGCCGCGGCCCGCTCCCAGGACCACATCCAGCTCGAGGCCTACGCCGTCCTGTCGAATGCCGTGGCCCAGGCCGTGGCCGTGGCCACCAGCGTCGTGGTCCAAAGGGCCTGGGAGGTAGGCCGGTCGCTGAGGATCCACACCGTGATCTACAATCTCTCCTCCGGGCACTTGCTCCTTGGGCACCCGAGTTTCGAAAGCAACCACTGCCTGACCGAGGCCGTGTGCCAGATGTCGCATCTGGCCCGGCGTTGAGGTGGGACGCCGGCTGGAGGAGCCGCCAGTGCGCGCGAGGTCGCGGGAATAAAAATGGCGCAAACAGCCAAGGGGGCCTGGGCCGCGGCCGGATTGTCCCGCGCTCCGGCCCCCGGTCTGGTAGACGGCACCCCTCCCCGGCCGGGCCCCGGCCGGGCCCCGGCCACCTCCGGCCACCCCCGGCCACCCCCGGCCACCTCCGGCCACCTCTGCCACTGTGTCGACCACGCTCGAGTTACGGGCCGGGGGCCCGATCCAGAGGGCCAATGCATAGCCCACGATCCGGAGTTGTGGGTTTCTCCGAGGTGCCCGTGATCACAAATAATAACATTCCAGAGGAGAAATTCCACCGCATCCGCGTCCCAACGGAGGCATGCCAGCGTGCGAGGCGCCGCCGGACGGGGCTCGGCAGGGGGCGCGGCGACACTGGGCTGGCGGCAAGAGCGCAGGCGAGACCGACCGAAGGCCGGCGGGGCCCTACGTGCGCGCATTGCTGGGAAATAACACACTCACGTTTGCAATCGCATGCTTGGCGGCGTGCTCTCGGCCCGAGGCGGACGCACCCGGCGGCAGCGGGCGGGGGGGGGGGGGGGGGCCTTTCCCCTGGGCATCTTCCTCTTCCGGCGGGAGAATGTGCCTGGTGGGCATGAGGTGTCGCCGGTGGAGGCTGCTGGGCAGGTCCGCCGAAAGCCGCGCGCCCCTGGAGGCCCCACCGGGGGTCGGGCATCGGACACATCCGGGCCGGCCGGCCGGCCAGCACTCGTGAAAATAACAACAAGCGGGGTGGCTCGGAAAATGCCCTCCCGGGCCCCCGTGCTGTTGGGAGCGGGGAAGGCGCGTTCTCCCCCTCCCCCCTGCCGGTGTCCGGTCAAAGGGAGAAGCCGGGGCGGGGCGTGAACGGGGCGGCCGGGCGGGGGGGGGGGGGGAACACAAAAAGGGGATGGGTCAGGGCGGCGAACCCAGGCCCCGGCAGGTCCCCACTCTCAAGAGTGCCTCGACCTGGGCGATCCGGCCCCCCCCCCCCCTGCGGCGGTCCGGATTCCGAACGGGCCGCGCCCTTCGCCGTTTGTTATTGCGGGCCGCGGGGAGGGGGATCAGGCCGCGCTGATGGTCTCGGCATGGCAGGCTCACCTCCGAAACACATGCGGCGGGCCGCAATGGGGCGACGGCTCCTCGCGGCTGGTGTACGGCTCGGATCGTGGCCAACCATCGGGACGAGTGTGTGCGTGTGTGTGGGGAGGAGCATGTGCGCGCACGCGTGCGTGTGGGCGAATTCGTGTGCGAGGAGGTGCGATTGTTCTCTCCCCCACCCTCACAGCTTGCGCCTTGGCCTGACGCGCGTTGGTGCCGCCGGCGCTCCGGCCAATGTGCGACAAGTAGACTGACTGATCTGCAGCCTGGCAACTATCCGCCCCTGACGCCGGCCGACAACGTCTCTTCTCCTTGCCCCTCCCCCCCCCACATACACACGCATACACACGCACCGCCCTCGCCCTCGATCGCCCCCTTCTTCTTCCCCCCCCTTCTCGGCTTGCTTCGTCCCGTGTGATGCTCCCGGCCATGAGTTCGAGCGCCGCCGCTGTTACCACTCAGGCCACCCGCGTCGGCGGCGAGCAGCCGCCCAGCGCTCCAACCACCAACGTAGACCCAATCAACACCAGCACATCTTCCACCGCCTCTGATGGCGAGCTCTACGTGTCGATCGCACGTGTGGTGCGTGTATCTCTTCCCCTCCTCATTTGCCTGCCGCTCCCTTCTTCCCTGTCTCTCCATCAATCTCTCTCTCTCTCTCTCTCTTTCTCTTTCTCTCCGCGTCTCCTATGTCCCCGCTGTCCCTCCCTCTCCCTCCTCTCTCTCTCTCCCTCTCTCTCTCTCTCTCTCCGCGTCTCCTATGTCCCCGCTGTCCCTCCCTCTCCCTCCTCTCTCTCTCTCCCTCTCTCTCTCTCTCTCTCCGCGTCTCCCCTGTCCCCGCTGTCCCCTTCCCCAACTCGCACTGCTGACACTTGTATTCCTCCGCGGCCATCTGCCTCCGTGTGCCCACATCCAGCTGGCGCGCCACCTGTCTCCCGACCTGAAGCCTGTGACCTTCAACCATCACCAAAGCTTCTATGACACCATGGTGGCCCATCGCGGGGTAATTGCCGCGGTGGTGGTCACCTTGATGGCGAAACTCATCAGCCTCGGTGGTCTGGCGGACTCCTGGCGCGACCCCAGCGACGTATGCCAGCCCCCTCTCACCGGCCCCCTCTCTTCCCCCCCTCTTTGGCCCATCATTTACCTTCTTCCACCCCCCTCCCCCCCGGCGGATATTTGTCTCTTCTGGGATCCGCGGCCAGCTTGTGGCCTTCATCATGAATGAGCGAGCTCCCTCGGCGGTCACCTCCTTCTCGATCAATGGCGACATGCCCGGTTCGCCGGACGCCCTGCCCGGCACATCGAACTACATCTCCCCCCCTCGGCATGACCTGCCCTGGATTAATATCCTTCCTGTGCTTCTGCCCCTCCTCTCCCCTCGACGCTAGGCCTACATTTGCCCAGCTGTCTCCCTCCCTCCCTCCCTCTGCCTCCCTCTGCCTCCCTCTGCCTCCTCTGGTCTCCCTGTCGTCCTCCGCCACCCTCTTCCCCCGGTGTTCTGCCTTAACCCCACTTTCTTGTCCTTCCATACGTCACCTGCGCCAGCGCCTGATCCATACTTTCTACTTCGTGACCCTGAACTATGGCTCCTCACTACGTGACCACGGTGTCCTGACGGCCGCGCGGCTCTGGCGCGACGAGCTCCAGTCCTCGGAGTCCGCCTCCGGCCCGTCACCCGGAGCTCTACACACTGATCCTTTCATGGGCCGCACTGTGCGCCACTTGTTTCGCCTTTCTCTCTCTCTCTCTCTCTCTCTCTCTCTCTCTCTTTTTTTAGGGGATCACATCTGTGCATGTGCATGCGTATGCACACACAATCACTCGTCTGCCTCCCCCCCCCTCCCACCACCACGCACGCCCACACGCACACCCACGCGCACACACTCGCTGACCCCTTGAATCCGGGCGACACATTGCCCCGGGTAGTTCTGCAACATCCTGATTGCCAATGACTTCTTCGAGCACATCTCCCACCTCCGGCACTTGGCTCTCCGGCAGATGGCCTTCAACGAGTATCGCTTGTCCCTGGCGGACGGCTACAACACCGGTGGCTTCCTGTCATCTCTCTCCGGCCTTGAGAGCCGACTGAGTGCGTTGCGCCAAAGGGCCCTCTGCACCCACCCATCAACATGCCTACCTCCAGGTGCATGCCCATTCCGGCGCTAATCCCCTCCCGCCTCTCCTCCCCCGCGAACGCATCACAGTGGGAGAGACCGCCCTGGGCTCGGTCCTGATGAAGAACATCCACGTGCGCGAGGTGCTGCTGACCTTCATGAAGCTGCTGACGCGGTTGCGGGCCATTGAGCAAGACCGCGCCGCGGCCGGCTCCACCTCGCCCCAGGGCGTGGACTCCAGCGACGAGCATGCCTTCCTGCTGATGCTTCTCATGCGCGAGAGTGTCGAAGCGGTGCGCCGGGCTTCTCCTTTTCGGCTGCTGCTGTTTTTCCCCTCCCCCTCCCTGCTGCAAGCTCTGACCTTCTGAGCTGCCTCTCTCTCTCTCTCTCTCTCTTTTGGGCAGTCGGATCACCTCCCGCCGGCTCTGCTCGGGGCCATTTGCGACCACCTGCGGCCCTTCACGGTGGTCCCGCGGCCGGCCAGCACTGTGGCTTTGGGCCTGATCCGCATGTGCCGGCGGCGGCTGGCCAAGCCACTTCTCTGGCGAGCGGCCGAGTTCCTTGAGCGGCATCCGGAATTGCTGCCTGCGTCGCGCACTTCGCGTTCGGTCCATGTGCTGACCGCGCCCGGGTCAGCTTCTGCGCATGTGCTGCGCTTCTACCTGGCCGCGCGGCAGATCCCCTTCGACCCGGAGCCGCGGCTGTACTTCCTCTATCGTGCGTCGGCCGCCGGTCTTGCGCCGCCCTGCCCCCTGCCCAGCATCAGGTCTGGTGCCCCCCCCCCCGCACCGCCCTCGCCCTCGATCGCCCCCTTCTTCTTCCCCCCCCTTCTCGGCTTGCTTCGTCCCGTGTGATGCTCCCGGCCATGAGTTCGAGCGCCGCCGCTGTTACCACTCAGGCCACCCGCGTCGGCGGCGAGCAGCCGCCCAGCGCTCCAACCACCAACGTAGACCCAATCAACACCAGCACATCTTCCACCGCCTCTGATGGCGAGCTCTACGTGTCGATCGCACGTGTGGTGCGTGTATCTCTTCCCCTCCTCATTTGCCTGCCGCTCCCTTCTTCCCTGTCTCTCCATCAATCTCTCTCTCTCTCTCTCT